CTACTGCTTTTTCTTGTTGAGGCAGTGCATCCTTGCTGCCGTTACAGTGGCTTGTTGCTTCAGCTCAGCTGAAGTCATTGCTTCTGCAGCCTTGCCTCGGCTGCGACACTAATTATCCTAACACGCGACAGGCCGACCTTATCAATCTCTCAGTTATAACTGACTGGCGATATGTCTGACTAACTAGTTAAGCTCTATTCATATCAGCCCAAACCTGCACTCCTTCTCTAGTTACCCCTCCTTATCTTACCCACTAACTATTCGATAAAATAATTCTAGCTTGCTGTGCCGATTTAACTGATGGATCCCCACTCTCTAAATAATTGAACGGCTCAAACCTAATCCCCGAATACGCAGATGTCATAATCGTGTTCGGCAAGTCTTCAGTATGAGGCGTATGATGCATACCCATATTGATCCACAACACCAAATCCTCCTGCTCCAAACTTTCTCCGTCCAGAAACTTTTCAAAATCAACAAGTGGATCATCAATATTATAGGCGTTATTACGATCTGCTGCACATGGTTCATTGTCTTTTTGCTGGGTGATGAACAAGTCATGGGTAGCGTAGTGGAGGGCTTTGCCGCCACTCGTAGAATTTTTGACTGTGAGGTGTATGGCTGGTGCGACTCGTCTGAATCTATACCCGGGATACTCTCCATATTTATTGGGGGAGTCCTTGTTTACGATGGTGTAGGAGATCGCATCGTCAGCTGCCCAATCAATACTAGAATCGGTCTCGCTAGTGACGAATCCGCGGTTCAGTTTCATCGTGTTGTGCGGTTGGCCTTGAGACCATGGGTATCTGGGAGTTCGTTAGCAAATATCCTTATTAGTGGCAAATTACTTACATAGTAGTCTCTGGGACAACCTCAACCTTCTGTACACTATTCTTTTCTCCATATATGTCGAGATCCGCCTTAAATGTCATAACATGATCATGCATTGACCCAGACAATGCATCATGAATCTTGAACCCATACTCTTCGTTCCCTGCATAATACGCTCCCTGGATATACCCTGACGCACGAACTTTGACTTCAATCGCGCCGTCATAGAAAAAGTCGTAGTCGAATAAGTAATCGTAATTACCCACCGTAGCAATCCATCTTACTGTAAACACTACATTGCGCGCTGCACTCGCATAACCGAATGCTTGAGAAGTATGTCTGCGTAGTGGGAACTGTGAGTCGCTTTCGAATAAGCAGATAGCGTCGGGTGTGATTGTGACTCCGGTTCTGCTAGAAAATGACGAGTTGAGATATGTAGCATAATCAGGACAATCATATCCCTTGATCAACGAAATCATAGATCTACCCATTCCCGTCTGTGTATCAAAGTAAACGGCTTCGGATGGAACCGGTTCAACGCCGGCGTAGTGGGCAAGGGCTTCTTGGAGGGATAGCTCGTAGATTATACGTTTGGACTTATAGACGACGTTGAAAAGGGAAAGGCCGCGGTCGGTGTGGGAGGAGAAGTAGAAGGAGAAATCCATCCATTGGACGTAGTTTTCCTCTGTGTCGAGGTTGTAGCGATTCTTCCCTCGGGATATAGCTTTTGGTGGAGGTAAATCGTCTAGTAAGAAGGTCGGTTCCTGCTTATTGGTAGATGTCCATGGACCGTCTATATTAGCGAGTGGAGGTTGGAAGTCAGATGAATAAACTGTCTCGTTGAAGGAGGTGGGAGTGTAGAGTTTGTTGTTGTAGAACCAATATAAGACGAACCAATCATTGTAGTCACGGCTTGTGATGTCAAGTTGCATGGAGACGCCAAGGGGAAGGAGGGTGGAACTGTCGAAACCAGTGGTAGCGTTGTTAAGAAATCCTAACCAGATGGTTTGTGTAGAGTCGGAATTGAAGGACGCCTTTCCGAGATTGAAGGATACACCACCCTCTGCTAGAGTCTTTTACTTGTTAATTAAACAGGACGAGTTTAGAAAGTGCGGTGTAAAGACTGCTTACTGTGTTCCATAGTTTCCGTGTGATGTCTTCAACCACTGAACTTAGCTGTGGAAGGAACGCATCGATTCCGTCTGCGTCCAGAGAAGTGATCTTGGTTTTGCCCTGCACTTTCCCGTTGAAGGGAAAACGAAGAGGTTCTACTGCCGTTGTGTTTGTTGCTGGTAGTGGACCGATGCGGTATTCTTGGAGATACGGGACTTCGGGAGAGCCGAACTGTACTGTGGCGCGCGCATAACGCTTAGGCTCCTCTCCATTATGATCAAGGAAGAGCAGCACATCGGATTTGTTTGGATATAGATAATCAATTTGGATACTGGCGGCTGATCAGAATCCCAACGTGTAGTAATGCCCTAGTACTCTTACATTCTATTGCCACCCCGACTATGCATATTTAGTATAATTGTGCTCTTCTATGTTTCGTTAACGTACCTTGTAGTCAAGTTCAATTGGTGGACCAAGACCGCTGAAACGCCACTGAACTCTGCTTCTGACAGGGCACGCCACACATTTCTATGCGGTGAAGTGATAGTATTGTTTCCTGCTGGTTGATTTTGAATGGGCTCTTGTAACGAAACGCTAAAAATATTTACCAGCGTTAACGTAAAGAGCAGAAATAGCTTCATTGTAGGAAGAAGTATAACAGCTCAAACACGTTGTTTGACGACGCAGGCACGACAGAAGATCTGATAAGGGTCCGAGTTCACACAAAAAAATGTGCTTGTGTTGGAACAATAGATACTAAGGATCAATCGGCACTGATAGGTTTGGTGCAAAGGATTTGAAAAGGTGTAGAATACATTTTGTAGTTTGCTTAATATACTCGGCCCCAACGGTTACTTCATAAAATTTCAAGAAATTGCCCGCGCGTTGCACGGGCCTCCTACCCCAAGGGCAACCCTCACCAAAATCAAAGTCCAGCGCACACCTGAAAAAATTAACCTTCTTCGTTTTAATTTTTTTACAAAAATAAGGTCGCGCTATAAATCTCTATATAGAAACAACTCTAAGAGATTGAAATATAAACGTATGGTAGCTAGGTAATACGTAGAAATCAGGCTTTTTTGGTGTTGCCCTTGGGGTGGGAGGCCTGTGCAACGCGCGGGCAATTTCTTGAAATTTTATGAAGTAACCGTTGGGTCCGAGTAAATGTCCTAAGTCTCTTAGTAGTCGGCAAATAGTCTTCGCCTGACTAGAAAGTATCTAGTTGCCGGGGGTGCCACGGAGGTAATACGGAGATAACACGAGATGTTGATAAAATACTAGACTAGCCCCAAGAGCTTTCGAACATGGTCCAGGGCCTTCATCTCTAGAGAGGTTCGTGGTAAGTTGTACGCTTTTGCTAGTTTGCGAATAGACAAAGATGTAACGAAGTTCCAACTCCTTCACCTGGATATTACCCCAGCTGGTTGGATCTGGACTAGTACCGGACTTGTTTCGAACAGGGTCTAGACCAGAG